AGGAATTGTTCGCTGCGGGAACAGCGATGATTCGATAGAATCGATGCACGGTGGGAACTTTCGCTTAAAATTTATCTTGAAAATCATGTACTCATGGGACGACGTGGTATTTCGGAGAATTTTGAGTTTTTGAAATTTTACTAAGAATTTTACTAGTAAGTTCCTCAACATGCCACGTTGTCCCACGATGATTTTCAGGGTGAATAAGAGAAAGTTCTCTCCGTGTGTGTAGGTACAATCGCCTTCATTCCAACTCGCTCGCTCGCGTCGCTGTAGGTTTTCACGAGCTCTTCTATCGCGTCTCCTTCGCGGGTCGAGTTTTAAATCCGATTATATAAATTTCGCGCTGACTTCCGGGTAATTAGGTCGACGAGGAAGAGTCTCTTGAAAGGAGTAGTGATTCTCGGGATGACTCCCGGCGCGAGAGATAATCGCATCGGGTTCCCGATAACGGGCCGGCATAATCGGGCAGTTAGGCGCGTGCAAGACGGTGGTGCGCGGCGAATATATATATTGTGCTTAATGACGTTATTAGGCACTAATTGTCGCTCTAACGAAGTACGAGTTCCCCGGCGTTAAGCGAATTCAGTCCCGCGGTGCGGCGCGGCGCGGAGACGCCGCCGCCGCCGACTCTCTCGCGGTTCCATTCGGGACAAGGGGTTGATGGAGACTAATGCTCGGTTTTGCCGACTGCAAAATCGCCTACCGTGCGAGCAACGCGCGAGCGAGGGCCCACGTGTACGTGTGCGACGTGCCGGGCTCGCCTAATCGCGCGGGACCAGGTACGCCGATTTCCAAGAACGATCGGCCAGTCGTGGCCCATCAAGTCTCGGTATAATAATAATACGCCTCGCCGTTTGCGTAATTAACTCTGCGTAATTAGCTTCGCGATTAATTATTCTAATCGTGAGAGAGCCGTCGGAGGAGACAAACGCTACAGAGATGTTGCCTCCGTCTTTTGCCGCCAGCTGTGTCTAACTCACTGAACGACGCAAATATTAAATTCAGTATTAATTATTATAAACATCAGAAGATTACTTGGCCATGTCTGGCAAATTTTTATGTTTAAACTTACAACGTTTCGACCATGGTTTGTGGCCCTTTTTAAGTGATAATTGTGTCAGTAAATCTGTACGGTAAATCAAAAGAACTGATCTTAATTTCACGAACGACAGAACATGACTGATTTACCATGCGGATTTACTGACACAATTATCACTTGAAAAGGCCACAAACCATGGTCGAAACGTGGTGAGTTTAAACATAAAAATTTGCCAGACATGGTCAAGTAATCTTCTGAAGTTTTTAATTACTTCTGGCGATTTATAAGATTTCCTCCAGTCGTTTATTAATTATTATCTTTAGCATTGCGAGGGATAGATCTTCGGGCATTGCATTCATCAGCATTGCCGTATCTGTTGCCGCTAGAAAACGATAATTATAATTGCGTTGGAAAATTTTATTTTACATTGAAACATGCTGATTACATGTCTAGAAACCTTCTGTTTTACGTAAGCGAGTCAAAGCGCTTGAAAAATTGGGTCGACGACGTACGATTGTAAAATGTATAACGTGCAGTCTTATTCATTAATGCCTGGATCTCAGTTTTACTAGAATTCACATCTTGATAATCTTTATTCCCTCCCATTTTTACATCGATGAGTTTCGGGCTTAGTTTGCACAACTTCTATAGAAGTCTGTGGTAGTAGAGGGAAGTCCCCTATTATGAGACAGGATCCTAATACGGGATAGCGGGGTTTCTGTTAAATTAATAGGCATCATCTGTTGGTTCCACCGTGAATTTATTGCCTTTAGAGCGAAATCTGTTTAGTGAAAAAGTGATTGTTAGATCGTGTAATCGTTGCGGAAAAGGATTTGTGAAGTTGGGTGTTGAAAATCTGCTATCTCATAATAGAGGACTTTCCTCTGCATACATACAGCCTGAAATTCAGTGATTTGTACAGATGAGAAAAATTCCTGTATAAAAAAAGGCGTGTTAAGTCGATAGTCGATAGTCTCGATGTATTGCTGCCGCTTTTCCGAGATGCTGATTGGCCATCCGATTGGCCTGCCTCGCTTGTGCGGTACATGCTTCAGTCGTGTTATTTGCAGCTGTCAAACCATGCGAATTTTTTGAGAGAGCAAATGACACGCGCTTGTGTTGTCTAGTGATGATAAAAAAATGCAGGTCCAGGCATTAATGAATGAGACTGTAGAATTGATCAACTTGCGCAAATTTTTGAAACGTATTTATCGGCTGCAGAATAGAACGTTTTTGGACGGAAAGAGCACATTGTAGATTAAGCTCGAGTCCGCATGTAAGTTTCCCGGGGTGGGTATCTGTAGGTCTGCCGCTGTCGCCTGGAATATATTATTTTTCGGGAGCTCGCCCCAGGAACGTCGATAAACGTTTCGCTCATTCGTTGATTTAAATACGGACGATTTGGGCGACGCGGAATCGGAATAAAAAGCTCGATGGCAGCCGCCGTGCGTATCCGCGGACACTCGCACGGCCGCTGAAAACGAGCGGGCCGTCGCGCTCATGAAATCGAATGAAACCAGCTCACGGCGCGCCATTTCCGGGATGCCGTTTCGGTTCCATTAGCGTTCGCGCCGAGCGGTCTCACATGTAGCAGCGATACACGCTGCATACACGCCGCTATGTACGTGCGCGACTAATGAACTGGCATCGCCCGATTAACCCCGTACCGTGGGGATATTATGTACTCCCTTCCTCTGTTGCGCACAGCCGCGCTCGCTCTTTCTTCATGCACGTCAACGCGATACGTCGATACCGCCCGTGATCTGCCGGCGAGATGCACATATATGTAAAACGCACGCCTGCAAGTCGATACTCGAAGGTGCGCGGCTCCATCCGAGATAATTAAGTTTGCTCCGTAACGCGCATTACGCGGAGGTAGGGATCGTTGCTTAATCCGGAGATTGTTGCACGCGCTCGCGTTCGGAGAACAGGACGGAAAGATGAGACCGAAGATTATTGAAGCATTTGACAGGCTAAGAGAATAATTAAGAACCATGGATAAAAAGGAAAATGCCGATAGCTTGCGAAGATTTTTGAACGGCAAATTGCGCTTTCAAGATGACGAATCTTGTACTCTCTAAAGGTCAATCAGTGGATTATCACTGGAAACAGTAGAATAGTCACTGATTTGCAGTTATAAGAGTATCACTGCAATTTTCAGTGGTATACTTAGGTATAACTGCAGATCAGTGATTACTCACTGTTTTCAGTGATAATCCACCGATTGACTTTTGGAGTGTACATGTTCTTTTGCATATAGATAACTTGCGAAGATTTTTAAACAAATTACGTTTTCAGGATGACGAATCTCGTAAGTTGCGTACACTCTCGTTCTTTTGTGTTCTCTCTAAAAATAAATCAGTGATTATTCACTGTTTTTAGTGATAATCC